TGTAGACGTTCTAGAGTACTATACTCAGTACACGTACAAAAGTAACGTGTCGATTACTGGTATGCGGTTGGCGGCTGAATAGTAACGCACGATTAACAGCCTGTGATGATAAGCTGAAGAACGTACTGGTATCGAGTTTAATTTCTGGGATTTTGGATAAGCCGCGAGATGTACGGCGGAACGCGCAGACGCACAGCAAAAGTACGTCAAAATCAAAATGTACTGACCGTCCCGTCCCGCGGTGACCGCGACAGGACGTATCTCAAATCCGACACAAATTAATCATCGGACAGCGATACACAGCGTGTAGGATATAGCACCAGATCCGATGTTCAAATAATGGTAGGTATTCGGGTATAGGTAATTGCGTGACAGTGMAAAAAAGACAAGAAAATGTAATGCCGCTGTCGAAGACGGACATCTTCCGGACAGCACAACAGTAATGCTAATAAAAATTAATCAATATCAAAATATATACTGTGATGCGGCATACGAGTAAACACAAATATCGGACAATGCATCAAGGCGCTCAAACGATGTTTTTCTGCTGCTCAACGTGTTTTGGTATTATCAAGGCGGTGGCAGTACGACGAAAGTTGAATACTGAATGTCTGAATATCAATATCTATGTATAGGTACAGACTGCAGTGCATTGACATGTCACACTGTTTATGTATACATATACTAGCTGTCCCGCTCGGCGTTGCTCTTGATAAAAAATATTATTTTTTTGTGAACTGAAATAAAATCATGTGTGAGCTATTCTTTAGCTTTCATCTTTTTGTTGCTATAGCGTCCTTTTGTTAAATTTGTTGGCATTTAACAAAATAATGATAAATTGATCAAAAATTAATATTCATTCAGTTTCGAGGTTTGCGATCAATGTTGATTTAATAATATTTTTAAGATGTTTATTTTATGCAATGATTTAATAAAACAAACCTTTAAACCCAATAAGGCAATAACATTATTTGGTTTAATGGTATTATGTTCATTTAATACYAACAGGACTGGACATTCCAAATTGCTACGTTGAAAATTGATATTAAAATATTCTTTTGAAATAATTTAAGGWACTGTGATTTGACAAATAATAACAGATAGGAGCATAGCGATAGCTACATTTTTAAATTCTGTGAACCGCCTTCTATATTTCATTTGCTCTCTGGACTTGTTCAGATTACCCTTGGTATAGATTATAGAGTATAGACAGTGTACTATATTGTTTAGCAAATTATAATAATTAGGTAGGTAGGTACCGACTTAAGTGTTCACAACATTTTATTCTTACTAAGTACCTACCAGTTATCTATTATAATATTATTGAGTCAGTATTCAGAGATAAGTGRTTCGAAATATATTATATCATGCTAACCAACACGGTTTGTCAATCGACAAAAAATTGATAAAAAAATCAAACTAAAAAATTTGTCAATTGATTCATGATGATTAGAGTAATATTAAATAACGATTTTAGCCGAATCATAGCGCAATAACAATACAAAATAAATAATGCTTACCTTAAGTGTTTAATAAGGTCTCAACTTTAGTAGATGAAACATAAAAAAAACAGATGAGGCAGATGATACACTAAATAAATAGCAAATAAACGATTTGTATGGTTTAAATGATTGTGTTGTAATAATAACGTGGCGTCGTTGCCTGTTCTAATGAATTAATAACACAAGTAGCAGAAATAACTATTTTTTTTTTTTATGCCACATTATTTAGTATCATTTTTTTCAGACGACTAGACGGCAGACCAATATTGTATTTTTATGTTTTGTGTATCTACTATAAAAGTAAAAAAACAAAAATATTTGTGCCCTATGGACATTGGATAACAACATAACGGACACAAGACGACAGTCGCATGAATAATTAATACAAGACGGCAAGACGCTGTGATCGAGCCTGCCACAGTTGCGTTATTGCGGGATTTCCTTATTATATTTTAAACCACGAAAGAGGAYGAAAATAATAATTGGTGAATAAATATTGGTCGTCGCTGTYTTCATACTCGCAACATAATAGTATATCTAGCCATGTACAAGTGTATAACATTCATCCTATAGTATATTAAGCTATAGTCTATATTTTAAGGCGATTATAATCTGTATTTGAACATAGAGTTTTTTCATGATTAAAAGTTATTAAAAAATCAAAAGACCCAGTCAAATTTATCGTTTTTATAACTAGCGTTTGACCGAAAACACGACGGATTGCAATCGCCGTGTATAAATTTGCAGACCTATATATATATATATATATTGGCTGTATATATAAAGCACTATAGTCAATACAGTCAGTGGCGGATTAAGCAATTTGCCGCCGTTTAATTTTAAACATTTTTTAAAACAAAATACAAAAAGAAATACATTGTTATTTAAATTATTCTTTATTATTCTTTATTTTATATTTAATACAATCGTCAAACATTATATGGTATATTAAAATATTTTCGTTCAACTTTTGAGGTTAGCGTATGTATCGATTAGGTCTTGAAAATCAATTGTTGACACTAATTCAGATTCAATGCACAGGAGAGACAAACTATTTAATCGATTTTCACCAATAGTAGATCTTAAATACGTTTTAGTTCTTTTGAGACACGGAAACGATATTTTTGCCGAACAATTAGTAGGTAACCGCCATACAGGAGTATATTCTTAAAGCGATGCTAACATTCCGAAATAGTTTTTCTAAATTCTGATTTCTAAAAAATGTAAACAAACTTTGATTTTTGGAGAATTGGTACGAGGGCGATTTTATATAATTGACATAATTTAGTTAATATTATATTTTTATTCAAGCGTCGACTGAGAGACACTGTATTGTAAAATATTGTGCGGATATCACCAATTTATTGGCAGGTTAACATAACCACAGTGAACRYGTCATAAAAAATTAAAAAATAAATTTATTTTATATAACTATAGAGTAAATTGTTTTTATTTTTCTTTAAATTTGTGAAAAAAGAATCGAGTTTTCTTATTTTTTGAATCACCCTTTTCTCTTTTTCTTAATGCTCTTCTCGCAGCTTTTTGTATCCTGCACCACTTTTTCTTTTTCTACCATCACTCATTGTGATGTAATAATTTGAAGAATTATAATAAAAATAAATAAAGACGTCGTTATACTCGTAGGTGGCAGTGTCACAGTGTCACGGTATACTAATAAGCAGAATAATGYTATGATAAGGATTAAAGAATAATATTATGTATAACATTCTTTGTAATTGTAAGTTATAAAATAACGAAAATAAAATATAACTGACAAAAATAATGTTGTATCGGCTATCGCCATAATGTATAGTTATGATCATATTAATTTAATATAAACCGTTTCAAGGAAAAACATAGATTCGCTAATAATTACAATCCTAGTTGATTGCATTCACCGAAACCATTTCAGTATTCATCAAATCAATAACCTAATGGCTAATATTCATAAATTATAATATAATTATATCAATACATTTTTTTTCTTA